AGCCTACAGTGGAAGCTCAACAAGAGACAGAAATAGAGGAGCTGACAGAAGAGATGCAAAAAGGAACGATGGGGGAGGTTCAGGAGGAAAATTCACGAAAGGAGAGGAAAAAGAGGATGGTAGTATGAGGCAGGAATGGGGGAGGTAAAAAAGGAAGGAGGAGCAGTTGCCGCCCAGTTGGGAATGGGTGTGGATGGAGGATCCCTGGACGGGATTATGGGAGAGACTAAGAGTGCCTAAGGAGGAGGCAGATTATAGAAGGAGAAGAGAGATTCCACCCACACCCTCTTATTGGGAAGAAGGCGAGAGAGTAGAGGAGGAGACTGAGAGAGGAGAAAGAGAGAGTTGAGAAAGGAGAGAAAGGCTTGAATGGAGAATAAGAGAGATGAGGAGGAAGAGTTACAGGGAGGACCCTGGGAGAATCTGCCCTTGCTGGCATGCTCGACGGGGCAGACCATAAGAGACTGGGTCCCTTCAGATCTACCAGGACCATGGAACACTAATTGTGAAAATCCGTTCCTGAAGATTAGAAAAAAAAAACCCTTCGGGGCCTGTTGGCAGAAGGAGAAAAGACTCACGATCATGTTACGGACACTTGTTTATTGTTGAGTGTACCAACAAATCTTTCACCTGTTTTGAAGCAACAAAAATCTGCTGATTTCATTGAGCTGAACATGGAGCCAAAAGTCGAACCCTCACAGCAGCTTGCCTAAACTTTCTCATGTATCGTACTCGAGTTAAAGATGTATCTCCTTGTGTGTAAGGAGTTGTTTGACAAGATGTGTAAATGGATGATTCATCTGATAAAAGGGCTACAGGTGATAGAAGCAGTAGTGAGGGGACCCCACAAAGATTCTTTTTGAGTTGGGGGGTTAGAGAGAAATTCCACATCTTCTCAAGTTACAGAATTAGTCTTTCACATGTTCACTAAATTCCGAGAAGGAAATGAGGTCTTTCCCCAAGTGCCCTAACTTTAGCTTCCCAGTTAATGTGGCCTGCTTTCTCTTTCGGTTGATATATACCAGCTGCTGAGCTTTAGTAGGAGAAAACAATGGTGAAGGTATTATTGCAGTTCTTGTACCACAGTTGCTGCGGGAGCTGTAGAAGCTCTCTTCTTGATAGGTTACCTAGAGTAATGGTTCCCAATCTTGGTTCCCAGAAGCCTTCGCCACTAGCTGTGCTGGCCAGAATTTCTAGGAATTGTAGTCCCAAGAACATCTGGAGACCCAAGTTAGGAACCACTGATCTAGAGAGGTTGGTTTGGGCCTCCACTGCCTGAATAGCAGCATAGATTCAAGGCCCAGGTCAAGCAATATTCCTCTTTTAACCCCTCCCCCACTTCTCCTTATAGTTCATGTATCTACGTAGATTCCTTTCAGGCAATTTAAATGGCCTTTTAAAATGTTATTTTGTCTTTTACTTTACAGAAGTTTGTATTTCTGCATATTTCACTGGTACAGTAAATATGTAGAAGCCACTATATTATTTGACTGATTTCACTCCCAAATGAATAATGAACCAGAGTTTGTTCTTATGAGGAATTCTAGTGTAACTTAATAAGAGGACCTGTGATAAAATACTGGCCTGCACTGTTTTTCTGTTCTAATCATTCAAGTAATTATATGAACTAATTCATAACTAGAAATTGAAAATTGATTATAATTCCTCACAAGCCTCTCACTTATTCTTAACATTCGTATTTGTTGAATATAGTGACTTGCAACAAACTGGCAGGTTGACTTTTCTGAGGGCTGCAGTTTAAGCAGGACGTACAGTACACACAACATTCCAAAGAGCAGTATGTTCAGCATATCACAAATTATCTATTGCTCAAATTTAGAAGGTGTGTTTCAATTACTAAAAGTGCTGTACTAAGAGCTAGTGTCGCACCTCTCTAGAGGACAGCAATTATCATCTTGAATTAAAACTATAGCTTTATACCCAGAATTTTCCCCATAGATGAAGAGTCTCTTTCCATTCACAGAAAGCCTCTCACCCTCTGGATTAATCTTTATAATAGAATTCTGGAGAAATTTGTTTGTTATTTTCTGCCCCTCTACATCCTCTTTGCCCCCCTTTCTGTTTTGGAAGGACGGGGGGCCCTTTAAAACAGTGGAGAGAACAGCACTTGTGGGTGGGGAAAATATCTCAACTACTTTTGCCCCAGTTCAGATGTTGCCGAATGTTTGTTTGTTTGTTTGTTTATTACTCTTGTATACCACTCTGATTTGTGCTGGGCACTTCTCTGTGCAGTTTACACAAAATATGATAAACATAAATCACAATATTTTAAAAAATAGACCACACATATACAGCAGCAACCATCTGATTAATTACAGAAGAACCAAAATGGTGGCAAATGGGAATAATCGGAATTATCAATCTGTAAGACATTAAGAGATGATACTTTCTAAAAGGCTTCAGCAAACAGCCCTGTTTTGAGCATCCTTTTAAAGTCTGTGAGGGAGGAGGCTAAGCGCAGCTTCACTCCCCATTCCAAATGTAAATGTGTGTTTCGGTATAGAATGTAATCACTGTGGTAACTCTTCAATTTCATTTGTTTTCCATTGTATATTTTAATTACTTCTGCAAACTGGTATTGTTTGTGAAGATATAGTTGGGTCTGGAAATAATTGGACACTGACACAAGTTTTGTTATTTAGCCTAATTATGAAAAATAAATTCATGCTACACTTGAATAATGACTATGGGCTTAAAGTGCAGCCTCTCAGCTTTAATTTGAGGGTATTCACATCCAAATTGGAGGAAAGTTTTAGGTAATTGCTGTGGGCTAAACCGCAGAAGCCTGTGCTGCAGGGTCAGAAGACCAAACAGTCGTAAGATCGAATCCACACGACGGAGTGAGCGCCCGTTGCTTGTCCCAGCTCCCGCCAACCTAGCGGTTCGAAAGCATGCAAATGCGAGTAGATAAATAGGTACCATCTCGGTGGGAAGGTAAACAGCGTTCCGTGTCTAAATCACACTGGCCATGTGACCACGGAAAGATTGTCTTCGGACAAACGCTGGCTCTATGGCTTGAAGAGCGGGATGAGCGCCGCCCCCTAGAGGCGGACACGACTGGACAAAAAATTGTCAAGGGGAACCTTTACCTTTACCTTTTAGGAATTGCTGTTCTTTAATATGTGCCCCCTCTTTTTCAAAGAACCAAAAGTAATTGGATAATTGACTGAAAATTTTTTTCATGGACAGACGTGGGTATTCCTTCATTATTTCATCATCAGTTAAGCAGGTAAAAGGTCTGGAGTTGATTCCAAGTGTGGCATTCATATTTGGAAGCTATTGCTGTGATCCCACAACCTGTGTTCAAAGGAGATCTCAGTGCAAGTGAAATAGGCCATCCTTAGGCTGCAGAAAAGAAGAAAAGAAAAGAAATCCACCAGAGAGATAGCAGGAACATTAGGAATGACCAAATCAACAGTTTGATACATTCTGAGAAACAAAAAATGCACTGGGGATCTCTGCAGTAGTGGATGATCATAGGATCCTTTCCATGGGAAAAAAAACCTCCACAACATCCAGGCAAGTGAAGAACACTCCCCAGAAGGTAGACATATCATTATCCAAGTCTAGCATAAAGTGAAGACTTCACAAAAACAAATACAGTGGTGCCTCTCTTTACAATTGCCCCGCATTACGACGAATCTCCTTAATGACAATCTTTTTGTGATCGCAATTGCGATCGCAAAACAATGGTCTGAATGGGGGAATTTCGCTTTGCAATGATCGGTTCCCTGCTTCGGGAACCAATTCTTTGCAAAACGACGTTTTTCGAACCGCTGATCGGCGGTTTCAAAATGGCCACCTGGTGATTAAAATGACTCCCCGCTGTGTTTAGGGACGGATTCCTCACTATACAGGCAGCAAAAATGGCTGCTGTATGGAGGATATTCGCTGGATAGTGAGTTTTCACCCCATTGGAACTCATTGAACGGGTTTCAATGCATTTCAATGGGTTGTTTTTTTTGCTTTACGATGTTTTCACTTAATGGCGATTTTCCTGGAATGGATTATCATTGTTAAGTGAGGCACCACTGTACAGAGGGTTAACCACAAGGTGCAAACCATTCATAAGCCTCAAGAATAGAAAGACCAGATTTGACTTTGCCAAAAAATATCTTTAAAAGCCAACCCAGTTCTGGAGCAGGATTCTTTGGACAGATGAAACTAAGATCAACCTGTACCAAAAGAAAAAAGTATGAAATAAGTTTGGAACAGCTCATGATCATGTTTTACCAACATGGTGGATGCAGTTTGATGGCATGGGCTCACATGGGTTCCAATGGCACTCGGTCACTAGTATTTATTGATGATATGACAGAAGACATAAGCAACCAGATGAATTCTGAAATATATAGGGATATAGTGTCTGCTCTGATTCAGCCATATTCAATGAAATTGATTGGGTGGCGCTTCACTTTATAGATGGACAGTGACCCAAAACATAGTGCAAAAGCAACCCAGGAGCTTTTTAAGACAAAGAAGTGGAATATTCTGCAATGACCAAGTCATTTACCTGATCAAACACACATTTCACGTACTGAGGACAAAATTTAAGACAGAAAGACCCACGAAGAAACAACAACTGAAGGCAGCTGCAGTAGAGGCCTGCCAAAGCATCACAAAATATGAAACCCAGTGTTTGGTGACGTCCGTGTGTTCCAGATGTCAAGCCATCATTGCCTGCAAAGGATTCTCAATGAAGTATCAAAAATGAACATTTTATTTATGATTGTGTTAATTTGGCCAATTACATTTGAGCCCCTGAATTAAGGGGACTGTATATGAAAATGATTACAATTCCTAAACACTTCATACAATATTTTTGTTCAACCCCTTGAATTTAAGATGAAAGTCTTACATCTCAGTTGTTTAATTTCAAGTCCATTGTGGTGGCACACAGAGCAAGCATTATGAAAATTATGTCAGTGTCCAATTATTTCTGGACCTAACTGTAATAACAGATGCCTTAATTTTTCCAGATTCATCTTACTCACTTCGTCAAGATGAAACAATTGTTATTGTTCTGGCATCAGTGTCTGTATTGGCTGTTTTGGTGGTTGCTCTTTTCTTTGGATACAGGATGCTTACTGGTAAGTAGTAGTATACCATTAGCAGTAGTTATAGTAGTAGTAAAATTTTGATTAGTGTATTTTAGTAGCTCTAGTAACAATATTTTGCCTTGTTTCGTTGCTGTAATAATGCCCGTGATACCTATGCTGCCCTCTTATCCAGTTTGTTATCCAAAGAGGCTATTGATGTGGTGAGGAGGAACTATGTGACTTAGCCTGTTTTAAACACCACATGGGCCAGTAACATGCATAGGGGTTATCCGATCTAATGGGGTTTTCCAAACGTATTGTGGTTTTTGGCTCAATTTTTGCCAGACCTGCCCCTTTCTTTTCCTTATTTATTTTTATTGTGCAAGCTGAAATGAGGAGAGAGAGAAAACAAGTAGCTTAATTCAACAGCAAATGCAAAAATGAAAAGGCAACAGTGAAAAGTTGTTTCTATGAAAACTTTTTTAAAAGGTAACCAGATGTGCCAGCACACAGTATATTCACACAAAGTTAGCTTCTGTATGCTACCCTTCAAAATGTAAAAGGTTTTTTGAGGGCCTCAGTAGGCATGGGCTGTTTGTATTTCGCTATGACCGGCAGCACCACAGGTGCCACAGAGGCCCAATTCCCTCCCCCAAAATTGGCCAGCCCACTCATCAGGCTCTGTGTGGTGCTGGAGTCTTTCATAATCGCCATTGCACCAATCGCAGCAGGAGTCTGGTTGGCTTTCCTCGCCTCCCCACGCAGCCAACCACTTTGGTGAGAAGGTGGGACACAGAGTCTCCCCATTCATCTGATCAGTGGTCAGCATGACGACGACAACAAAAGACCCCAGCACTGCGCACAGCCTGATGAGTGGGCCTGCCAGTTTTGGGGGAGGGATTTGGACCCTTGCAGCACCTGTAGTGCCACAGATTGTATTCGTATCCCCAGAGATATGAATACGAATAGCCCATATCTAGTCCTCAGTGCATTGACTAATTGGTATAGGCATTTATGTTGTGGAAGAATCCACTTCTGCTGACCAGAGGTTAGTTTCCAAAATAAAGGCATGAAATGTAAAATTGAAAGGCAGGAACCCGTGCACACAGCACGTTCACTCCTGCTTTTTACTTACCATTGCATAAATGAACAAGCAAACCACAAGGAAAGGACTTAAGTGGGTCCAAATAAGCCATGATTCACAAGCCAGCAGCAAACCGTTTGAAAAAAAAATGCTTATTAAGCCCACCTTGCTGAAGTGCATTTAACTGTAATCCTAGGCTGCAAAATCAAGAGAAAATATCCTCTGCATGATAAAGGGAGAAGCAAAGCAGGAATGAATGGATTGTACACACTGACGCGTAGTCCTGGTTTCTTGTTAGATCAGAACAGAGCCAGTGTTTGGGCAACTGATATATAACACACCCCTGGTTTTAACTTGTGTCTGGGTCTTCTTGCTTCAGGGGACCATAAACAAGGTCTGCACAGTATAAATATGATGGAAGCAGCAGCATCAGAGCCCTCATTAGATCTTGATAATTTGAAGCTCCTGGAGGTATGTTTGCCGTTTTCAGTATCCGGAACTCTGTGTATATATTTACATGATTTATAAAGCACCTTCTCGTTTTAATGCTAGATACTCAGTTTGAGTATTCCAAAACCAGCCATGACACAGGCTACATCTTTAAATCGCATAAATAATATCCTTCTCCTACTTTTCAAGTAACTGCATCTGTCAGATTCCTGATCTAGATTGGTGCTAATATGCAGGAGGCTAATCTTTCCTTGCTTCCATGCCATTTGAAAAATTCCTCTTGAAGCCACTGTGCCCTCCTGTGCCCCCAAATTGCTGTTTGCTACAAGTGCCAGTTTAGGGTGGACTGTCACTGCAGAAAATAGCATCATGGGAATAATTCAGAATTCATTCCCTTGTACCATTGTCTGAGTTCTGCTTATGGTCAGGGATATATACAGTTGCCATTCTTAAAAGCAGGTGGGAGAGTCCTAATCACAAAAATGACTGATACGCTGGCTGGTTTGACCAATGTTTTATTACCCTTGCAAAACTTTCTTGCTTTGGAGCCTCCTTCCCAGGAGTAGCATTTTCGGCCACAGCCAGAAAAAACATCAATCTTACCTGTCCGCACATAGAAGCAGTTCTTACCTACATGTATGTTTTTGGGTGGCATGATAAAAATAAATATTCTATATGTGGGAGTGAACTGAAAGCTATCATTCAGCATTGATGCAAACTTACAGATATCTGTAAATTTAAGCATGCTTCGCTTTGCATTGGCTTGTGTTCAAAAGGTATATTTTTTATCGTTTTGATGTTTAACTGATGGCATTTTAAAAAAACAAAACATTCACAGCTGATTGGTAGAGGACGGTATGGAGCAGTGTACAAAGGTTCCTTAGATGAGCGTCCAGTGGCTGTAAAAGTATTTTCTTTTGCTAATCGTCAAAACTTCATCAATGAGAGAAATATCTACAAAATTCCACTAATGGAACATGACAACATTGCCCATTTCATTGTGGGAGATGAGAGAATCACCTCAGATGGACGGATGGAGTCTTTACTAGTGATGGAATATTATCCCAATGTAAGTAAGAACTTAAAGAGTTAATTCAAATACCTGTGGGAAAATTTAAATAATTACGTTTTGTTAATAGAAAATCTAGAAATGTTCCTTTGGACTCTAAATAGATAAATAAATAAATTTTCAGAAATCTCAACAGGCCATTCTTATATTTCAGTCTGTTTTAAGATGTAGCTTCTTATTTCATTATAAACTTGAGGTTATATTTCTCTGACCTACAAGTGCCTCTTTCATGTAAATGTAAGCAAGATGACTGAATGATGAAAATCAATGTCAAAATGGCCAAAACATTCAACAGGCCATTCTTATAAATAATTTTGAACACAACTGTAGCTTCACATTTTCTTACTGATAGTTCCAAGCATCTCTTTCCTTCTCCCTTATGAGTAAATGTGAAATATATTTAAGGCTTTGGGAAAGCATTGCTACTACATTTTTAACATAGTAAGAACTGGGTCAGATACACAGAGTTCCATGCTTTATTGATATGTAATACTGCTTTTCAAAAGAAGTTTTGTAGATTTGGTCATCTTTATTGTATGTACTGTTGTTCAAGCAACCTCCTTTCAGTTAGTCATTGAATTTTTATTATTTCTACCCATGAAAGTATCTGTTTTTTTTCCTTGGTCAGCATAAACTGCATCTATAAAGCTGAAATTGGCGCTGTTGTTCATTGTCTTGGTAGTGACAGAAGTCACAACAAATGTGTTAGCCTGGTCTTCTGACTGTCAAACAATGGCTGAAATCTTATTGCTTAGAGTAGGCCCATTGAATCAGTAGGGATTTAGAGAGTCATCTCCTCTGTAAGTTCCATTGATTCAAATGTATAGTTGAACTTGCTGCCCTGGACAACAGGATTTCAGCTGTACTTTGGTTATAAGTAACTACTCTTTCCTGTGCTTTGAAATGTTGTCAAGGAGCATTAGAAATATAGGCTAACAACTCTCTATTTATTCTGTCTCCAGGGCTCTTTGTGCAGGTATTTGAGTCTTAATGCTAGTGACTGGGTGAGCTCTTGTCGTTTAGCACACTCTGTAACTAGAGGGCTGGCCTATCTTCATACAGAATTATATCGAGGAGGTAAGGCTCAGAAAGAGGAAGATTTGTATGAATACAATCGAGGATTGTCTATGAGAAAATGGACTCAGGTGTTTTATCAGTTTGTATTCTAAGGTGTGCAAACACTTCCCTGGCTAGAAGTAAGCAAGCAGAACTGTTGCATTACTATAGCCCTGGCATAACTGTATTTTTAAAAATAAGATTAACCCAATTCATTGCATTTTGAAACAAATCATTATTATAAAATATATTCATTTATCTGGAATATTAAATAGAGCAGCATTTTGCATTTATAGGAATTAGTGTTGGCTGATTTTGAAGCACTTTTTAATTTTTTCAGAGCTATTTCTTTAATCTTACAAAAGAGAATAATGAAGCAAGTACAGCAGTAATGAGTTGTCCCACCTTTCATTAAAACCACAGGAGCTACCATAATTTACTAGTCTATAAATTAACAGAAATGTTATCTGTTATAAATTCAATACATTTTGGCGGGGTGGGGGAAACCCGCCAGATTGCCTTCAGGAAGTTAACAGAATCTGCAACTAAACTGCAACAGTTACTTGGCTATGATGCTGTGTTCAGATTAATACCCTGTTTCCCTGAAAATAAGACCTAACCTGAAAATAAGCCATAGTATGATTTTTCAGGATGCACGTAATATAATTCTTACCCCAAAAATAAGACCCATTTAAGTGAAACCCCACCCACCACCATTGTGCAGCAACCAGAAGAAGATGACATGACTGTAGTATAAAACATCCCCTGAAAATAAGCCCTAATGCGTTTATTTTGGGGAAAACACGGTATTAAAGAATGTGATATATGTTCTGATTCCAGCATGCAGAACTCCTTGAAAAATACAGTTCTCCTCTTCTTTGAGCGTACTGTATTACTGTATGTCCATAAAATATTTCTAAGTTATCCTAACATACTGTATACTGTACCTTTAAGGCAGTTTGCCTCTCTTTCTGCGAACACAGGTTTTGAACTGGCTGTTGCCAGGAGTCTTGTAAGAATACCCTCTTTTAAGTTTTTTTTTAAATTGTTGATATTTAAATGTATATCCTACAAAGTAACTTGTGGCTTTTTTTATCTTGTGGGACTACAACTCCTCTATTTCTCCATCATTAGCTATAGTGGCTAGTGCTAAGGGAGCTATAGTTCAAAAATATCTGGATGACCACAAGTTGCCCATCCTCAATATAAATAAAAATCAATAAATTGAACCTTTGTAGTAGACCTTTCCTGACTGGGGAAGAACTGTAATTTTATTACAGTTTTCCTTTCAGAGGTCAGATACCCTGTTTTCCCAAAAATAAGACCTAACCTGAAAATAAGCCCTAGTATGATTTTTCAGGATACTCATAATCTAAGCCTTACCCACAAAATAAGCCCCAGTTAAGTGAAACCCAGCCCTCCACCATTGTGTAGCAACCAGAAGATGACATGACTGTATTTGAATAAGTGTAGATTGTTGTGCATGAAAATAAAATAAAACACCCCCTGAAAATAAGCCCTAATGCATTTTTAGAGCAAAAAATAATATAAGACCCTGTCTTATTTTCGGGGAAACACGATATAAGCACTAATACAATACAAAAGTTAAATGTTTGCGTAGGTGCTCATTATAAGCAGGTAGAATTGTTTCCTTGAAATGCCTAAGTGCTGTTTTATAATGTATGGAAAGAAACATACATACTAAAATAGCATGCTCATGTATTCAAACAGATTGCTATAAACCTGCCGTCTCCCATCGTGATTTGAACAGCCGTAATGTATTGGTGAAAAATGATGGAACATGTGTCATCAGTGATTTTGGTCTCTCCATGAAACTAACTGGAAATAGACTGGTGCGCCCTGGTGAGGAGGACAATGCTGCAATTAGTGAGGTGAATATGAAAAGGAAATCTGAAGGATCTTGTTGTTGTTGTTTAGTCATTAAGTCGTGTCCAACTCTTTATGACCCCATGGACCAGAGCACACACTGCCTCCTGGAGTTTGGTCAAATTCATGTTGGTAACTTCAATGACACTGTCCATCCATCTCGTCCTCTGTCGTCCCCTTTTCCTCTTGCCTTCACACTTTCCCAACATCAGGGTCTTTTCCAGGGAGTCTTCTCTTCTCATGAGATGGCCAAAGTATAGGAGCCTCAGCTTCAGGATCTGTCCTTCCATTGAGCACTCAGGGTTGATTTCCTTCAGAATGGATAGGTTTGTTCTCCTTGCAGTCCAGGGGAGTCTCAAGAATCTCCTCCAGCACCACAATTCAAAAGCATCAGTTCTTCGGCGGCCAGCCTTCTTTATGGTCCAGCTCTCACTTCCATACATCGCTACTGGAAAAACCTTAGCTTTGACTTTGCGGACCTTTGTCAGCAAGTTGATGTCTCTGCTTTTTAAGATGCTGTCTAGGATTGTCATCACTTTCCTCCCAAAAAGCAGCTGTCTTTTAATTTCATGGCTGCTGTCACCATGTGAAGTGATCATAGAGCCCAAGAAGGTAAAATCTGTGGCTGCCTCCATATCTTCCCCTTCTATTTGCCAGGAGGTGATGGGGCCAGTGGCCATGATCTTAGTTTTTGGATTGTTGAGGTTCAGACCAGTTTTTACACTCTCCTCTTTCACCCTAATTAAGAGGGTCTTTAATTCCTCCTCATTTTCTGCCATCAGAATGGTATCATCTGCATATCGGAGGTTGTTGATATTTCTTCCAGTAATCTTAATTCAGTTTTGGGATTCCTCCAGTCCTGTCTTTCGCACAATGTATTCGGCATATAAGTTAAATAAGCAGGGAGACAATATACAGCATTGTCATACTCCTTTCCCACTTTTGAACCAATCAGTTGTTCCATATCCAGTTCCAAATGTTGCTTCCTGTCCCACATTTAGATTTCTCAGGATGTAAATAAAGTGGTCAGACACTCCCGGTTCTTTAAGGACTTGCCATAGTTTGTTGTGGTCCACACAGTCAAAAGCTTTTGCGTAGTCAATGAAGCAGAAGTAGATGTTTTTCTGGAACTCTCTAGCTTTCTCCATAATCCAGCACATGTGAGCAATTTGGTCTCTAGTTCCTCTGCCCCTTCAAAATCCAGCTTGTACCTCTGGGAGTTCTCGGTCCACATAGTGCTGAAGCCTACCTTGTAGAATTTTGAGCATAACCTTGCTAACGTGTGAACTGAGTGCAATTGTAGGTAGTTGGAGCATTCTTTGGCACTGCCCTTCTTTGGGATTGGGATGTAGACTGATCTTTTCCACTCCTCTGGCCACTGCTGAATTGTCCATACTTGCTGGCATATTGAATGTAGCACCTTAACAGCGTCATCTTTTAAGATTTTAAATCGTTCAACTGGAGTGCCTTCACCTCCACTGGCCTTGTTGTTAGCCATGCTTTCTAAGGCCCACTTAACTTCACTCTCCATGATATCTAGCTCAAGGTCAGCAACCACACTATCTGGGTTGTCCAGGACATCCAGATCTTTCTGGTATAATTCCTCTATGTATTCTTGCCACCTCTTCTTTATGGTGGCAAGAATACAGAAGTCTTCTGCTTCTGTAAGGTCCCTACCATTTTTGTCCTTTATCATGTCCATCTTTTCACAAAATGTTCCTTTAATATGTCCAATTTTCTTGAACAGATCTCTGGTTTTTCCCTTTCTATTATTTTCCTCTATATCTATGCACTGTTCATTTAAGAAGGTCCTCTTGTCTCTCCTTACTATTCTTTGGAAGTCTGCATTCAATTTTCTGTAACTTTCCCTATCTCTCTTGCATTTGTTTCCCTTCTCTGCTATTTGTAAGGCCTCGTTGGAAAGCCACTTACTTTCTTGCATTTCCTTTTCTTTGCAATGGTTTTTGTTTTGTTGCTGCCTCCTGTGCAATGTTAGGAGCCTCCATCCATAGTTCTTCAGGCACTCTGTCCACCAAATCAAGTTCCTTAAATCTGCTCTTCACTTCCACTGTGTATTCATAAGGGATTTGGTTTTGATTAGACCTGGCTAACCCAGTGGTTTTTCCTACTTTTTTTAGTTTAAGCTTGAATTTTGCTATGAGAAGCTGATGATCAGAGCCATAATCAGCTCCTGGTCTTATTTTTGCCGACTGTATAGAGCTTCTCCATCTTTGGCTGCAGAGAATATAATCAATCTGATTTCGTATTGCCCATCTGGTGATGTCCATGTATAGAGTCACCTCTTATGTTGTTGGAAAAGAGTGTTTGTGATGACCAGCTTGTTCTCTTGAAAAAACTCTATTAGCCTTTGCCCTGCTTCATTTTGAACTCCAAACTTCCCTGTTGTTCCTTTTATCTCTTGACTGCCTACTTTAGCATTCCAATTCCTTTGGTGTCAGTTCTAGAAGGTGTTGTACGTCTTCACGGAATTGGTCAATTTCAGCCTCTTCAGCATTGGTGGTTGGTGCATAAACTTGGATTACTGTGATGTTGAAAGGTCTGCCTTGGATTCGTACTGAAATCATTCTATCATTTTTGAGATTATATCCCTGTACAGCTTTTCCCACTCTACTGTTGACTATCAGGGCTACTCCATTTCTTCTACGGGATTCTTGCCCACAATAGTAGACATGGTGATCGTCTGAATTGCATTCTTCCGTTCCCATCCATTTTAGTTCACTGACACCCAGGATGTCAATGTTTATTCTTGCCATCTCCTGTTGGACAACATCCAGCTTCCCAAGGTTCATAGGTCGTACATTCCAGGTTTCCTATGCAGTTTCTTTGCAGCATCAGACTTTCCTTTCACTTCCATGCACGTCCACAGCTGAGCATCCTTTCGGCTTTGGCCCAACCACTTCATTAGCTCTGGAGCTACTTGTACTTGCCCTCCTGTCCTCTGAGGGGCTCATCTTCCAGCGTCATATTTTCTAACCTTTTGTTTCTGTTCATGGGGTTTTCTTGGCAAAGATACTGGAGTGGCTTGCCAATTCCTGCTCCAGGTGGATCACGTTTAGTCAGAACTCTCCACTATGACCTTTCTGTCTTGGGTGTCCCTGCACGGCATATCCCATAGCTTCTTTGAATTACTCAAGCCTCTTTGCCATGACAAGGCAGTAATCCATGAAGGAGAATCTGAAGGATGGAGATAGTTAAATGTACACTAGAAGAAAATAATATTTGGAGGTATCTTTGGAAAATGCATTTTAGAAGGATCTTTAAAAATAAATTGGGTGAATGTAATGACAGTGCATCTTTTTTAAGAATCAATGGTTTATTTTAAATGTTCTTTACTCAGCTTTCATGTGCCCATCTTAGGATATTCATACAAAGTATGGTGTTGTGAACAGCGTAATGGATGAAGACTCAGGAGACCTGGATTCAGTTCCTGAGCTCTATATCATAGAAAATCTCTAGAATGTGTGTGGAACTGGTAAAGCCACTGTTTCTGTGACAATGTTGTTTGGTACCATGCAACGAGTTCAGCTGAGAATGATGAAACAATGAAAAGAGTATAAGCATTTCTTAAAATTGAATGCATTAGATTAGAATGGAGTAGCATAGCCCTGAAAAGTCTTTATGTTATTGCTGATGATATGTGGAGACTGCTAGTAAACATAATGGGATTTTTTCCCTTCTGATTTACCGTAAAAGATAAGAGCAGCAAAAAGAATTTCATAAATACTAAGCCAATATAAGACTGTCATAACATGTTCCTGCAGGTTGGGACAATCCGCTATATGGCCCCTGAAGTGCTGGAAGGAGCAGTGAACTTGAGGGATTGTGAGTCAGCTCTGAAGCAAGTAGATATGTATGCACTAGGTTTAATCTACTGGGAGATTTTTATGAGATGCACAGACCTGTTCCCAGGTAATGCATGAATTACTGAAATTCTCCTGTTCCAGCTACTTCTGTGCTATGTTTTGCGGGGGGGGGTCGGGGGGGTCGATATGTTTGGTTTGGTTGGTTTTTTTCCCATCTGCACTGAATTTAGAACATCAACTCTGTTGCAAAGCCCACAGTTCTTGATATTTAGTGATTTGTTGCATTTCACGTAGTGCCATCTGGTGTTACAGTCTGGAACTGAATTTTGTACTTTATGGTGAAGTATGTATCTTTGGTTACATAATAACTTAATCCTGCCCAGTAAGCTTTAGGTATTAAGGAAAGCTTACATGCTTAGTGGCAGTGCAGATGAGCAGATACCAAGGACATATCCACATGAGTCTTTTTGCAAGGCTTTCTGGTGCCAGGTCTTGAATATTGAGTCTACAGAAGCACCACCTGGACTCCCTCCCCACACCATTGTCACTGGCCTGTGGTAGATCGGGGATAGCTTATTTATTTATTTATTAGATTTTTACCCCACCCCTCTAAGACAACGTCTACTCGTTATGACTGTATTGTTAGTCCATTTGACAACTCACATCACATCTCTTGTTCATGCTTGTGAATTTAAAATAGGCTTCACATGTGAAGGAATGCACAAGACTGAATAAAATAAGAGGCAAAGACCATTCATACAGGTGTGGTAGACCTAATGTATGAATAAGTGAATGAATACAAGATTAACATTCAGAACCTGCTAGAATAGCTATAATTGACATACATTATACCTTTTAAATATCTTAAGAATCCCTTTCTCTCAAGAAGACTTGAATACTCTGAGGAGATGCCGTCATATCAGCTGTCTCTGCAAAAGTGCACGATACTACCAGCAGTATGCATGTGTTATTCCCAACATGGCTCAGGAGTGGCTATACAGTGGTGCCCTGCATAGCGACGTTAATCCGTTCTAAAAAAACATCGCTATCCGGATTCCTCGCTATGCGGGGCAAAAAAACCCATAGGAACGCATTAAACCCCATTTAATGTGTTCCTATGGGAGGAACTCACAGTTCAGCGAAAATCCTCCATAGCGTGGCCATTTTGGCTGCCTGATAAGCGAGGAATCCGTCCCAGAAAACAGCAGGTGGCCATTTTGAAACCGCCGATCAGCTGTTAAAAAAAGCATTGCATTGCGATGATCGGTTCCCCAAGCAGGGAACCGATCATCACAAAGCACCACCAGCCAGTCAGCCAACCCTGATCGCCCGGGCTCTATGGCCGGGCGAGAGTGAGGGGGAGGGAGCACGGCTGTCTCCAGCCAGCGAGGGCTCGGAGGCAGGCAGCTGGGAAGGGGCACGCCTCTGACCGCCAGCCAGCCAGGCAAACCTGGACGCCCGGTCTCCTTCCCCAAGCAGGGAACCGATCATCACAAAGCACCACCAGCCAGTCAGCCAACCCTGATCGCCCGGGCTCTATGGCCGGGCGAGAGTGAGGGGGAGGGAGCACGGCTGTCTCCAGCCAGCGAGGGCTCGGAGGCAGGCAGCTGGGAAGGGGCACGCCTCTGACCGCCAGCCAGCCAGGCAAACCTGGACGCCCGGTCTCCTTGACAGGGCGAGGAGGAGGTCTCTGGCGCGGCGCACCCCGCCCCCATCCAGCCGCTGCCACCCTGATCCCGGTCCCGGGTGGGCACCTCCTCCTTTGCAGCGCTCTGGCTCGGCGCCCGCCCCAGGGGTGCAGCGGGGATCAGGGCCAGGCCTTTCGTCCCTCCTTCCCTCCCTCCTCCTGAGGCGCCAATCCGGAGCACCCCCGCTCCCCCCAAAGGCCCGTGAGCAGCGCAAAGCCCGTTTTTTTGAACAGCTGACCGGCAGGGCCTTTGCGATGAGCTTGGGGGAGCACTCCCCTGCGATCGTCGCAAAGCGAATTTTCCCCATAGGGGCCATCGGAAAGCAATCATTCTTGCGATGGCAAAAAGTCCATCGTAAAGCGATTTCATCACTAAACGGAGCAATCGTTATGCGAGGCACCACTGTATTTAATTTTAAAATTATACATTGCTTCTGTTTTCTTTTATTAATGTTGATACCCATACATTTCTATTAAAGTGTGTATGGTCATGAAATGTTATTCATACCATTATTGGAATGAGGTCATCTGATGCTTCATAGTTTGAAGATGAATCTGAGCTACATACAAATAAAGTAGTGAATTGTGCAAATGGGAGAAAGGATGGTACTTGATACCAATATAAAAATGCATTCACTCATGTAAATAAAAGTACATTTAAAAAAAAAATCCATCAAGGCAGTATGCTTAATGGCTTCCAAAATAGAAATCTACCTATCCTCTGCTATAGAGGAATAAGGCACTTTGATTGTTAGCTTGGTCTTTATGTATCGTGTAGCATAGAAGAAGAAAGACTTTAGGAGGGTAGGAAAAAAACCAAAAAATGTTTCCTCTTTTTTTTTTTTTTTTTTTTTTTTTGGTTGGACTCTCATCAACCTTTCTTGCCCTTTGAGCCTTACATTTCGCATGGCTTCTTATTTGTGAAGTAAATATAGTGGTGCCTCAACTTACAAACGTCCCTACTAAGGACCATTTCGAGTTGCAACCAACTCTGGCCGCAAAATTTTGCTTGAGCTTCCACTTACGAACAGAAAAGGGCAGCGAAAAAGGCAGGAAATTCAAATTGCTAACTGTAGGTGGTGCCGAGGCTGCTGCTTTGTAGCTCTTTCACCCCAGCAGTTAGAGAGTGTGTGTCATTGTTGGAGGCTTGGGTCTGCCTCCTTCTGCTTCTGAAAGTGTGTGTGTGTTTGCAGGGTGGCTTCAGGCTGCCTTGTAAGGTAAGGTGTTGTTTTCTGCTGTTTAAAAACTGTTCTGGGTGTTTTTGCAGCATGGTTTTGAGCTGGGGGGTTATGTTTCTATGCTGTGATGGGTCTTGGTTTTTTCTTTTTTTTTTTTTGCTTTTTGGGTTTTTTCCCCCATTTCCGATGGGTCTTGGGGGTTTTTTTGTTGTTGTTGCTTTGGAGTGGTTTTCCTCATTTCCAATGGGTCTTGGGATTTTGTTTGTTTTATGGGTTATGTTTCTATGCTGTAATGGGTCTTGGTTTTTTGTTTTTGTTTTTTTGCTTTTTGGGTTTTTTCCCCCATTTCCGATGGGTCTTGGGGGTTTTTTTTGTTGCTTTGCAGTGGTTTTCCCCATTTCCAATGGGTCTTGGGATTTTGTTTTATGGCTCTTGGGGGGTTGGTTCTTTTTTGGGGGGGGTTGCCCATTTCCAATGGGTCCTGCATGCTTCCCTTGCTTTTTCCTTTGTTTTCTTTGCATTTCTAACTTGCCCCCTTTGTTCTCTGTGCATTTCCGATCAGTTCCATTTGTTTTCTGTGCATTTCCAATGGGTCTTGCACACTTGATTGCTCTTCTCCCCCCCCCCCTTCAGCAGGAAGGGATTAATCACGTTTCCAATGAGTCTTGCAGTGATGTTTTTGTTGATTTTTTTTCCTTTGGCCGGAACGGATTAATTGCATTTCAGTGCATTCCTATGGGAAATGGTGCTTCAACTCACGACCATTTTGAGTTACGTCCATCTTCTGGAACGGATTATGGTCGTAAGTGGAGGTACCACTGTATGAGACCAGCTGCAGTCTGAATATGGGAGGTATTTGTTTCTTTTCCACCTAGCCACAGTCAAATTCATCCCTGCATTGACTAGTCTGTGCCCTACACCACATAGTTCCAAGACGTCTGAAATAATTTATTTGTTGCATCCACCTATCTGCAGTTTTCCTGTTCTGCTTGATGAGTAGCTGTAGTGAAAACTCTGAAAATATTTCTAGCTGTATATATGCCTCTCCTCAAGATTTTTATGACTAATTGGGATAACAAACCAAATTTTGGTCCAGGAGAAAGTATGATAGCACCTCTTGCTGTGAGCCCACCTTATTTTATTTTTACTTTTTTCATGATTCCTTGCAATACACTTATGAATAAATTTCTCTGTGAACAGGAGAATCAGTACCAGAGTTTCAGACAGCATTCCAAATTGAAGTTGGAAATCACCCCACTTTTGAAGATATGCAAGTCCTTGTTTCAAGGGAAAAGCAACGACCAAAATTCCCAGAGGCCTGGAAAGAAAACAGCTTGGTGAGAATATGAAAGTGCATTCTAATTTTTGTTCTCATTAGACAAGAGTTATCTAAACTGCTGGAATGTGAAGCCATAACATTAGCTTTGTGTTCAAAAAATTGTCATTGTGAAACTTAGGAAAATATTATAAATAATTGAGTGCAAAATACATTGGCGATCAGAACATTTTATATGTTATTTTTAATAATTATGACTCTAAATTATCCAATATATCTTGACCAATACTAGGCAAGAGTCATCAGCATGTTCAAAAATAATAATTGGATCACATATATTTCAGAACACAATCTTAACTCCCCCAAAGGGGCTCTGGCAGATTTTCTTCTTCCTGAGGTGACACTGGATCCAATAGGTTATTGTTGATGGGACTGAAAATACCTTCTAAAGTATTATTCTGGCCACCACATATTCAGAATAATTTCCAATGCTTCATTTTGGTCTCTGTGCCTCACACATAGGGATTAATCCTGTGCATGCAAAGAGGAGCTCAGGAATGTCTAGATCTGAGTGAGAGTGTTTTGGAAAATGTCTCTCCATCTCCTAGCAGAAATGATTGCACAGGGTTTCTCTCCTCCTCTCAGTTCCTTTTTGTCTTCTGTGCCTTCATAGAGCATATGGAACACCCTGAGCTTAGTGCAGGCTTTTGAGTTGACCTTATCTGTCTTCAACAATTCTGTGCTCTATGCCTCAGGTATTGATGAACTGTTTCTTTGACCAAGAGCACTCAGTTTGTCTCCTAGATACATAGTTTCCCAGTAATTAAAAAACTTCATACAGTGCAGTAGCAAGATGTCCATGTCCTGAAGCCCAGTGGGGCTTCACTCGACAGTCTTGCAGACAGACCTAATCATGGTCCTCCTACCATTAAGAAGAAGAAGAAGCAAAAGAAGGACAAAGAAGTTCCTAAGCTCCTCCCTCACAAGAATCCCTTCTGAAACACTCTATCTACACCATCAATGGCAGTGTCCTCACCAAAGTGATCAGTGATAGCACTGATGGGCAGGATTGTACCAACAATATGTATAGATTGTTTACCAGTGCTGCTCCTTTACTAGTGGATTATAGGAACTCGCCCTGTGTAGAGTTTCAGGGCAGACAAAAGCAAGTAGAAAGACAAGTATTAGATAAGAAAATATAAAATGTAAAGGCAACGCATAGATTAACAGTGGTATTACTTCCAAACACTATGATTGCAGCCACAATTTACATGGCTTTGAAAGATGATTAAACAAATGCAAGGGCTGTTCATGATGTTTCTGTGCTGCCTAGAGATCACAGGCACCATGCCTCTGCCTCTGAATGCTAGTCTTCCTGTAAAACATCAGTGGGATATCGCTGTTATCTTGAGATATTGCTTGTGTGTGGGCTTCTTGCAGCATTTAGTTGGCTGCCGTGGGAAGAGGATACTAGAGTGGATGTACTTCTGGTGGGGGTCATCCACAGCTCTTATTTTTTTCTAATGAGAGCATTACCTGACCCTTCAAAATAATGATCTTTAATTTTAAAAAATAAAGAACTATGATACTAGCACATCTCTGAAAATTGGGAGGTATAAGAAAGGGGTGGATGATACCATGCCATTTTGCTTTGCAGGCTGTGAGGTCACTGAAAGAGACAATCGAAGACTGTTGGGATCAGGATGCTGAAGCTCGGCTAACTGCTCAGTGTGCTGAAGAGAGGATGCAAGAACTGATGATGATTTGGGAAAGGAATAAATCAGTTAGCCCAACAGTTAACCCTATGTCCACAGCTATGCAGAATGAACGGTATGTAGTTTTAAACAGGTGGTTTGCATGTACATCCTTATTTCTAAAAGCTGTGCAGTAAGGGTGATAAAGCCATTTTTAATGTTGATTGTGTATGCACATAGCTTTAGTTTGCTCTTCTCTCCAAATGCCTTTTCAGTGTTGTGCTTTGAATGCAGGAGTATCGCATTTTCTCAGCACTCTAATCCCAGTACAGTGGTACCTCGACTTATGAACTTAATCCGTATTGGAATGGTGTTTGTAAGTCGAAATGTTCATAAGTCGAAGCACTGTTTCCCATAGGAATGCACCGGAACGGAATTAATCTGTTCCAGCATTTAAAAAAAAACAAAAATAAAAATAACAGAGCAAGTCCCACACTGGGACTGCAAAATAAATAAATAAACAAACAAACAAACAAACAAACAAAACAGCACAGCACAGCACAGAACCATAACCCCCCCCAGTCCAAACCCCCCCTCCAAAACCCACCCAGAACAGTTTTTTTAAAAAGGTAAAAGCAGCACTTACCAGTCCAAAGCCTCCCAGGCTTCCACTGCTGTTGTGACTGCCGGCAGCAGGAGGCTTGAGCCTGACCAGGTTTATTTGGCTGTTCGCCTCCCAGCTCCACACCACCCTCCGTGGGCCGATGGCGGGAAATTCAAATGGCGGAGGGCAGCGAGGTGTGAGCAGGAGGCAAGCCGGGAGGCGAGCAGCCAAAGAAACCCAGCCGCTCAAGCCTCCCGGCGTTGGGCGATTGCTGCCTCCTCCACGGCCGGGGGCGAACGGCCAAAGAAACCCGGCCAGCTCAAGCCTCCTGGCTCTGGGCTACTCCCACTGCATCCCTTTCCCTAACCGTTGGGACAAAAGAGCTACAAAGAAGCAGCCTGTTCACCACCAACAGTTAGTAAATTCAGATTTCCCCCCTTTTCCCCCTGCCTTTTTATGTTCGTAAGTGGAAGCTCCGTTCGCAAGTCAAAGCAAAATTTTGTGAATGGAGCAGTTCGTAAGTCAAAATGTTCGTAGGCAGGGACATTCACAAGTCGAGGTTCCACTTGTATTTATATACCTCAGAAAATGCGATACTTCTCCTGGATAACACTTTGGTTGTTCTGGTTGCTTTGTGGAACATGAGATGAAGTCTTAATATCCTTTCCATTTTTTTGCTGATGTAAATAGTTGCAGAAGTACCATAGTGGCTGAAATCCTGTTCTTAGCATAGTAAATCATAACTGGAGTAGGTCCATTGAATCATTGGGGATTTAGTGAGTTATCCTCTCCAAAAGTTTCATTGATTCAGGGGACTATTCTAGTTACAAATTATTACACTGAACAACAGGGTATCAGACAGTATGTTCTTCTTTTTTCTTTCAGTACACTTAGAAGGTGAACACAGTTGATTCTCTGCTGTACGAATATCCTGTTTATCTAAAGATAACCATAAAACATTTAGTTGTATCTCCTCCCCTTAACCCTTTCTTTCCTCTGTAGGCTTTTACAATATGAGACTAGAAGGAGATTTGCAAACGTGAACATGCAAGTGTGTGTTTCTTTGGATGTTAAAGCTCTTATTTTCACGATACTAAATGTAAAGACAATCTGTAACTGGGCATAGTGTAACTTTGTTTAAACTGCTCTGCTGCCTGGTACAGGAACATTAAAAAGTATTCTTGATTATGGAACTATTATACAGTACAATATAACTGGATTTAGTTCCTGAGAACATGAAGGAAAGCTATGGAAGACTGACTGATGTGGGCAAATGTCTCTCCTCCAAAGGGCAAATGAGGAGTGCTTTACTATCAGTGTCATAGAAGGTCTAAGGATCCCGGGGCACCTTGATACCCATAGGTTTATTGCAGAATAAATGCCATTGTAGCATTACCAATTTAGCCATAGCCAATAATAAATCCACATTTTAAAAAGTCTTGGAAATAACAATGCTGTGAATGAGACAGCTATTATCAAAATCCATAGTAGGTGTGTGTCTGCTTGCACTGTGAGTGCATAGCCAGTGAAGATAAGAAGTGAAGCAAACAAATCTAGAGTCTTACCAGGGGTGCCATTCTTGCAGCAAAACTCTCACAACAATTATACTTGCTGGGCAGATTTTGCATTATAAGTATGTTTTGGTGAAATTATTGTATTACGTACATACTCTTAATCCCTTTGTCTCTCTTTTTTAAAAGAAACTTGTCACACCATAGGCGTGTGCCCAAGATCAGACCATATCAAGATTACTCTTCCTCATCTTACATTGAGGACTCAATTCACCACACTGATAGCATTGTGAAGAATATTTCCTCTGAGCTTTCAGTGTCAAGCACACCGCTGGCACTTGGAGAAAAGAACAGAAACTCCATTAATTACGAGCGACAGCAAGCACAAGCTCGTATTCCTAGCCCAGAGACGAGTGTCACAAGCTTGTCAACTAATACTACTGCCACCAACACAACCGGCCTCACCCCAAGCACTGGTATGACCATCATATCCGAGATGCCTTATTCAGGTGAAACAAACCTCAGCGCTACAAACAGTATCCAACCGCTTGGGCTAACTCCTGTTTGTCTGCACCTAACAGAGGAGGACTTGGAGACCAACAAGCTAGATCCAAAGGAAGTGGACAAGAACTTAAAAGAAAGCTCCGATGAGAACCTGATGGAGCATTCCCTTAAGCAGTTCAGTGCACCCGATCCACTCAGCAGCACGAGCTCTAGCTTGCTTTACCCACTGATAAAACTAGCAGTAGAAGCGACAGGGCAACAGGACTTCACACAAGCTGGAAATGGCCAAGCATGTCTCATTCCAGATGTTCAGCCTGCTCAGGTTTACCCTCTTCCTAAGCAGCAGAACCTTCCAAAGAGGCCTACAACACTACCCTTAAACACCAAAAACTCAACAAAGGAGCCTCGGCTAAAATTCGGAGGGAAGCACAAATCAAACTTGAAGCAAGTAGAAACTGGAGTTGCCAAGATGAACACTATTAACGCTGCAGAACCTCATGTGGTAACAGTTACCACGAATGAAGTGGCAGGGAGGAGCCATACCGTAAACTCTCATGTTGTGCCAACTCAGTATGCCAATGGTTCTGTGCCATCTGGTCAAGCAAGCAGTTCCGGGGCACACAGAGCCCAGGAAATGCTGCAGAACCAATTTAGTGGGGAAGACAGTCGTCTGAATATCAACTCAAGCCCTGATGAGCATGAGCCTTTATTAAGAAGGGAGCAGCAAGTCAGCCATGATGAAAGCATTCTGGATCGTCTGGTCGATAGGAGAGAACGGTCGCTGGATAATGGCCGAACAAATGCCAACAACAACAACAACAGTAACCCGTGTCCAGGGCAAGATGTGCCTGTCCTTCGAAACCAGGGGGCAGCCCCAAGTTCTGGACAGGTCTACACCAGAAGAGCACAGAGGCCTAACTCACTGGATCTGTCATCTACAAATATTCTAGACGGATGTAGTATGCAGTGTGAGTTCTGATGGGACTTAATCAATGAACAACAGCCATGTTATTCTTAGAAATTAAGACTAACCTTAGTGACAACTAACCAAATTGTCATATGCACCCCTAAAAGTCAGGGTATTGGTAGTGCAGCTCAACAGGAACTTTTTGTCATCCTCCCTTGGAGCTGATTGCCTTTGTTTAGACTTGTCAGCAGCTTGCAAAGCAGCATGACAAATCTCAGCTATTGTTTTCTACTTGGGTGAAACAGTAAATGTAGTACAACAGGATGTAGGCATAATATTACAAATTATTTTGAAGAAGCAGTGTAATTGCCTATTGTTAATGCTTTCACATTTTGGAAAGCTTTCTTATTCTGAGAACTACTCTCTAGTGTTGTAGATCAGGAATGGGCAAAATGCAAACCATGAACCTCCTGATTCCCTTTGCCTCGCCCAAAAAGATCACTTAAAAAATGGCAAACAGCTGCTTCAGAAGCCTATTGAGGTACAAGTTGCCGTTAAAGACTATTTAGGCTGGTAATTTCTTGCATTTAAAATAAGTCTTTTTTGGCTTGGAACGGGCTCAGCGTAGCCAATAACATTTCAGTAACCTACTGGAGGCCTCTGGGGAGCTGTCTGTTTTTTGTTTGCTTGTTTTGTTTTTTAGATTTTAGAGAACATTCAGCAAGAGGGGGAGTTAGAGGGGGATGCAGTCCATCAAGGTCAAGGGGAGAATGAAAACGATCCTCAGACCTTCAGAAATTGCCCACCTCTGTTCTGGATGAACCTTAATGAGGGAATGAGCATTATAAAAGTTGGGGACAACACATATCCATATGTATCCTTATTCTTTCAGTTGAATCCAACAATGGTAATTTGTCAAGGATGGAAATGGTTCCTATTACTGCAAAAAATTGCATGTGTATTAGCAGTTTTAATAGTAGAGAAAAAGTGGCCTGTTTATTTGGGGATCAGAAGGAAGCAGACCAAGTGGTCTTTTGTGAAACTCATATTGGCTCAGCCAAAGTTTCCTGCCAACCATGGTTTGGATCATATAATCATGTTTTACAACATAAAACAGGGCGTCAGCTCCCAACGGTATAGGCAAAACATAGTTTTAAATTGCTTTTTCCACCTTTTCCTTAGCACCACACACCAGTCTCTTAGTCTGAGGGCCTTAAGAATTGAACTGTGACTGGAACCATATGTTAGATCTGGCACCATGCTAAACTATCTCACCAACATTGTTTTCTAATCTCACTTCGAATCACGGTTTCTGATCTGGTTTGCCATTTGATTACTTTGTCATGTTCATTGCTAAAGCAAGTTGTACACCTGAATTAATATAAGTGAAAATCCCTGTTAGAACAGTTACATTGGATCACACCTTCGCAAAAGTGGTTGTGCAAATGGTTCCACAACCTCTTGCACATCTGGTGACACAAGAAAAACTGTGTTGGGCTCCACAGTAATTTTTAAGATACCCATCTGGTAGAATAGAAGGCCTTGTGCTAATGGATCTAAGGTAGGAGGCATTTTTTAAATTACTATTTTAAACTACTGGTTTGAGAGGAACGCTTCTGTTGGCATTAGGTTATGTCATCCATTTTCTTAGAGCCAAAGTATATGATTAGCACAGTCACATAGTACCTTTCTTGCTAGTGTATACTATTTAGGCTACTGGTGTTTACACTATTCAGTTGTGTGAAATTCTCTCATTTTGAAATGTCATGGGAAAATTAGGCTAAAACCTGATTTCCTGTCTGTTCTATGTTGAGAAAATGTTTCTGTTGAAGAGCATCATAATGCAGTTGTCCAACCCGGTACAGTCTAGCAAGAATTGTGCTATGTGTAATTCAGCTCTCAGATGCATGAGTAGGTCCAACAGGGAACATTAAATCTCTTTTAAAAGAGGATCTTTTTTCCCAGTAGTATTTTAAAATAGCTTCCCCAGTAGTAAGAGTAAGAATAATAGCTTGTACATCAGGGAGGGAAAGGAGAAGATTTCTAGTAAAGTAGTTAGCCCTGGATGTTAATTTCTGTAGTTCTTTGAACATAACCAGTAACTGAGAACCATGGTGAAGTTTGCACATCATTTATTGCTTTTGACAGGATTTTGCCTTTTCTTTCTCTGTCTCTTCCCTTGCACTCTTTCCTTCTGTATGACCTTTTGTGTATTCTTTCTCTTTTTTTTAGTGAGTGAGTCATCTCTAGATGGCAAACCCGGCTCAGGAGAAAAGATTAAGAAACGTGTGAAAACACCATATTCCCTTAAGCGATGGCGCCCTTCAACATGGGTCATCTCCACAGAACCACTGGACAGTGAGGTCAACAACAATGGTAGTGATAGGGTGGTTAGTTCTAAGTCCAGCACAGCTGTTTACCTTGTAGAAGGAGGTACTGCTACAACTATGGTGTCTAAGGATACAGGAGTGAACTGCCTGTGAATGGTTTAAAAGCTGACAAAAATTGACATTTTTGCATTCTGTTAAACATGCAGAAGACAATTTTTTTAAAAAAAGAAAACTCTGCTTTCTGCTGTCAGCATCCCTTACTGAGGACTTGCTTTAAATAGATTTCAGCTATGCAGACAATTTTTAGCTTATGCTTCCATGTTTTTAATTTTGTTCTTTTTTTAAAAAAACATTTTTGCACTTTTTATTTAGTATTGCAAAATTACATCTGCCTGTCCTTGACCACAGAATTATATATATGTGTATCAAAGACTGTGGTCTCAAAATATTTTTTTTAAAAACAAAAGCAAAAAATACGAATTGCTGATAATCAGTTTGGACCAGTTTCTAAAGGTCACTAAACACGTAAGCCAGTTGGCAAGAATGGTGTCTGCTATTCATGTTTTGAGTTCTGTGCACAAGCTCATTTGTATGTTTCTGTGTGAGTGGTTTTCACTTGTGTTTTGTTGAAATGTGCAATAGTCTGCAGTTCACAGTATGCTTTGTGTTTTCAACCATACTACACATTCTCCCTTCTGGAATTGAACATTTTTTTTAATTTAATCTAATAATTTGGCGACCAGTGGTTTCCAGCTGTGACATCTGCACAGCATAATCAGCTTTGAAGCAGCTGCTTGCATCTATAAGTATGCGTGCTCTAAAGTCATAGATAATGCATGAGTTTTCCTGCCTTGAAAGGGCTTAATATGAAACAGAAACAAAAAGAACAAACCGTTTACAGTGGTGCCCTGCTTGACAACGATAATCCGTTCCAGCAAAATCGCCATTTTGCGATGCCTTTAAAGCGAAGAATCGGTCCTGAAAACAGCAGGGGGCCATTTTGCGACCTGCTGATCAGCTGTTTCTAATTGTCATCTAGCGAAGAAATGGTTCGGAAGCAGGGAACTATTCATCGTCAAGTGAAAAAAACCAATTTAAACATTGTTTTGCGATCGCTATAGCGATTGAAAAAAAAACATCGTAAAGCGATTTTGTCGTCAAGCAGGGTAACCGTCTAGCGAGGCACCAATGTACTTTCACCCTTTCCAATTAACCAGTGGTGTTTTTCTTCATAGTGGATGATGCAAGTTTGGAAACCTCTGAGCAAGAAAGTGTTGAACAAAATAAAAAGAATCAAAGGGTCAATTTGTACAACTGGTAGTTAGTTATCTGGAAGGTAGTTATCTGCCACATAAGCCTAGCAAGCTTGATTCTGTTAGTTAGTTTACAGGCTGAGAAAGCTGTGTTTTGGATAGAGGATCTGTGGTATATTTTTCACAAAGCCAGGACACATGTGGGAATTGCAACTATTGTGCGTGAGTAGATACTGACCCCAACTGTCTTTACCACATTCATTTTGTCTGTTTTACAATTTGACAGTTTTACAATTTGATAGTTTGTTTTTATATACCTTTTATCTTAATGAATGCTTTCAGTGTGTATTGAAGAATCCATTTTGATAAAAAACCTACTGCAGATAGGTTACTGAGGGTGTAATCACATGGGAAAATATGTCATATTTTGGAACGCTTATGGAGCAGTCTGGCACAATCTATTTCTCAGTGATTAGATCATTGTGATTAGATCTCAGTGATTAGATCATTGCAGATAATTGTGCTCCAGCCTAAATTTGATCTGTGCCCAAGCTGGACCTTTCTGATCCAGCTGTACAGCTACTGCTTTTTAGGGCTGGGCTTGAGTAGTTCCCCAGCATACAGGAGGGCTGCTTTAAGGGAGATTCCTGCCTGCAAAGTTACCCTTTCCGCTGCGATCAAAGACATGACTTTCCAGCCATCTGATTGCACCCTGAGACAGGTTTTCAAGTAGAGGGAGCTGAAGTAGAGGGTCAAGCCCTTGTCACACGAGGGAAACGTTTTCTAGTTCTTCCAATACTTTCCATACCTCTGTTGTACTCAGTCGTGGTCTACATGGTTTATATCCCAAGACGAACATCCCAATAACTTTCAGCAGTACCAGTTTGTTTATTTGAATGATTATGACCAGCTACACCATGGTACTGATTTATTTTCTCTCTTGCTTCAAGGGGCAGTTAGGCCCTTTATATATATGCCCCTCTATCTATCTATCTATCTATCTATCTATCTATCTATCTATCTATCTATCTATCTATCTATCTATCTATCTATCTATCTATCTATCTATCTATCTATCTATCTATCTATCTATCTATCTCAATGTATCAATATGTCAGAAACAAGGCTCCTTCTAAGGTGCACGACTATGCGAGCGTGCTTGACTCGTCCCTCCTCTAGATAGCTTTCCTCCTCCCCTGTTCACCCACATCTATCATTTCCAGCCCTTTCGTTCCAGTTTCAAAAGAACTCAATGCAGGGGTGCTGGTAGAAATTACGAGGAAACATTGATCGTCAAGGGGGTTCTGTTTAAGAAAGTGTCCTCTGTTGCACCGGCTGTTCCTGCACACAATAGACTTGGGATAGCTGCGCAGCAGTACTGGTGATCACCACCTCTGTGACATTAGCATACCAACATTTCAATGTATCTTCCCATATAATTTTTTACAAATTTTACTTGCCAGTAATGTAATGGCAGAGGCCCCCTGGTGACATACTTTTACCAAAGTATTGATGTATTGAGGACAAAAAATTTGAAAAAATAATGTGCATGCCGCAATAATAGTGGCCTCTGAAAAGAAGCACAACCCTCCTGGCAATGAGGACATGTTCTGTGGTTACACCACTGTCCAGGAAAATGTCTCAGTCTTGTCTCTGCATCGTGTGACCAGAAAAAAAAAAGCAACAAACTAACTGGGGGGTAACTAGAGAACATTCCCCTCATGTGACCAAGGTTTCAGTTGTATGAAAGTCATGTGATAAGTTCCTTTGGCTCTCATTTTTACTATCCAAAAGATCTAGAATGGATCATGGTTGGCTCTGAACATTCTTACATCATTGGCTGCTTTAGAGAGTAACTACAGGGATTGAGTTCCTTCAGACTTCCCCCTTTTGCATTAATGTCCCCCTTCAGAACACTACTTCTGCTTATCATGAGAACTTGCTGAGATTTTTTTTTCTAGAGAAAATGTTTAGAATGTGTATGTAACACACATATTTGTGTGTGGCAATTGAAATATGTAGCCCATTGAAGTGCCACTTTGAAAGTCCAGTAGGGGTACCTGTCTAGACAGAATAATAATTATGTGCTATCACATTGAATCCAACTTACGGTGATGCTTACCAGGCTTTTCTAGGTAGAGAGTATGCAGAAGTGGACTACCCTTTCCTTCTTTTGAAGGCACTTTAGAACTGTACAGCTTGTCTAAAGCCTTGCAGGCCAGCGCTTCTCCTGAGATGCACAATGGGAAATCAAACTACTGACTTCTAGTTCCACAGCCAGGTACCTAACTCACTAAGCTATCCAACCTAGACAGAAGGTGGTAGATACTTTCATGCTTACAATGCCTGTTTATCTGAGTTCTTGTTCAGGCTTATGTAACAGTAATCAAATATATATTTATATAGGTGAAATACCGGCTAGCATGAATAAAATATTTGGTTTTGTTTCGTTTTCGTTTAGTCGTGTCCGACTCTTCGTGACCCCATGGCCCAGAGCATGCCAGGCCCTCCTATCTTCCGCTGCCTCCCGGAGTTGTGTCAATTTCATGTTGGTTGCTTCACAGACACTGT